TTTTTTTTTTTTGAGACAGAGTTTCATTCTGTTTTCCTGGATAGAGGTCTATGGCAGCGTAGTTCACAGCAACTTCAAACTCCTGAGTTTGGGTGGCACCTGTGGCTCAAGGAGTAGGGTGCTGGCCCCATATACTGAAGGTGCTGAGTTCAAACCCTGCCCTGGTCAAAAATTGTAAAACAAACAAAACCCTCCTGGGCTCCTCTTGCCTTATCGTCCAGAGTAGCTGAGACTGCAGGCTCCTGTCCCACCCAAGGCCCCACTTATTTTTCTAGTTTTAGTAGAAACAGGATCTCTTTTTTACTTAGGCTGGTCTCTGAACTCCTGAGCTCAGGCTTATCCACCAGCTTTCATCTCCCTCCCAGTGTTAGAGTTACAGGCATGAGCCACCATGTGCAGCCTTACCTTTAACTTTATTTTCACCAGTATGGTATAGCAGGTAGGACGCTGGGTTTGTAATCAGGCAGGCCTAGTTTTGAATCCTCTTTTGTTAGTATTATGACCTTTGTAATATTACGTAATTTGAAGGCTCTCATGAGAATAAAATTGAGATAATGTAGTTTACATAAAGCATTTGGTATTGTGTCTGGCATATAGTAGTTCCAGTTACTGTCCCGTTTTGGGGAAAGTTGAGGTGGGAGAGTCAGCATTATCCCTTTGAAGTTCTCAGTAATGATACAGAAACATAATGACAACTGAACATTGCTTAATGGGCTGAGAATATCCTTTACAGTAATTCCTTCTTTTCAAGTTAATCAGGTTTGGCTGTGCTTTTAAGAGTTTGAGTTTTTAAGTCTATTCCTATTCTCTTACCACTCTCTGTTAGCCACTGAACTCAATTTTTTTTTTTTTTTTAGAGAAACAGTCTCACTTTATTGCCCTCAGTAGAGTGCCGTGGCAGTGTCACACAGCTCACAGCAACCTCCAACTCCTGAGCTTAGGTGATTCTCTTGCCTTAGCCTCCTGAGTAGCTGGGACTACAGGTGCTCACCACAATGCCTGGCTATTTTTTTTTTTTTTGTAGCAGTTTGGCTGGGGCTGGGTTTGAACCCACTACCCTTGGTATATGGGGCCAGTGCCCTACTCACTGAGCCAACAGGTGCTGCCCCCT